TGGGGTTTCACCATGTTGGTCAGGCTGATCTCAAACTCCTGACCTTGTGATTTGCCCAACTCGGCCTCACAAAGTGCTGGGATTACAGACATGACCCACTGCACCCAGCCAAAATTGGAGACTATTAATCTAAGTAAAGTAACTCAGGAATGAAAAACCAAACATCGTATGTTCTCACTGACATATGGAAGGTAAGCTTTGAGGACAAAAATGTGTAAGAAGGCTGCAATGGAATTTAGGGACTTGGAGGAAGAGTGGGAAGGGGAAGGGATAAAAGACAACATATATAGTGCAGTGTATACTGCTCAGGTGATGAGTTCATCCGGATCACATACATCAACACTGAAGAACTTATTCATCTAACCAAATACCAATAACTTATGGAATAATAATTTTTTTTTTTTTTTTTTTTTGAGACGGAGTTTCGCTCTTGTTGCCCAGGCTGGAGTGCAATGGCATGATCTCGGCTCACCGCAACCTCCGCCTCCTGTGTTCAGGCAATTCTCCTGCCTCAGCCTCCTGAGTAGCTGGGATTACAGGCACACGCCACCATGCCCAGCTAATTTATAGTATTTTTAGTAGAGACGGGGTTTCACCATGTTGACCAGGATGGTCTCGATCTCTTGACCTCGTGATCCACCCACCTCGGCCTCCCAAAGTGCTGGGATTACAGGCTTGAGCCACCGCGCCTGGCCAATTTTTTTTTTTTTTTTAAGATGGGGTTTCACCATGTTGGTCAGGCTGGTCTTGAACTCCCGACCTCAGGTGATCCACCCACCTTGGCCTCCAAAGTGCTTGGATTACAGGAGTGAGCCACTGTACCCAGCCAAGAATAAATTTTTTTTTTTTTTTTTTTTTTTTTTTTTGAGATGGAGTTTCGCTCTTGTTACCCAAGCTGGAGTGCAATAGCGCGATCTCAGCTCACCACAACCTCCGCCTCCTGGGTTCAGGCAATTCTCCTGCCTCAGCCTCCTGAGTAGCTGGGATTACAGGCACGTGCCACCATGCCCAGCTAATTTTTTGTATCTTTAGTAGAAATGGGGTTTCACCATGGTGACCAGGATGGTCTCGATCTCTTGACCTTGTGATCCACCCGCCTCGGCCTCCCAAAGTGCTGGGATTACAGGCTTGAGCCACCGTGCCCGGCCTTTTTTTTTTTTTTTTTGAGATGGAGTTTCACTCTTGTTACCCAGGCTGGAGTGCAATGGCGCAATCTCAGCTCACCGCAACCTCTGCCTCCTGGGTTCAGGCAATTCTCCTGCCTCGGCCTCCTGAGTAGCTGGGATTACAGGCACGTGCCACCATGCCCAGCTAATTTTTTGTATTTTTAGTAGAGACGGGGTTTCACCATGTTGACCAGGATGGTCTCGATCTCTTGACCTCGTGATCCACCCGCCTCGGCCTCCCAAAGTGCTGGGATTACAGGCTTGAGCCACCGCGCCCAGCCAGAATAAAATTTTTTAAAAAATAATTCTTATACTTACAGACCAGCTAACATAATGAATACTTCATAAACTATTACACAGGTCAGGGGTGCTGGCTAATGCCTGTAATCCCAGCACTTTTGGAGGCCAAGGTGGGTGGATCACCTGAGATCAGGAGTTCAAGATCAGCCTGACCAACATGATGAAATGCTGCCTCTTCTAAAAATACAAAAATTAGTTTGGCATGGTCGTGGGCACCTATAATTCCAGCTACTTGAGAGGCCGAGGCAGAATTGCTTGGACGCAAAAGGCAGAGGTTGCAATGAGCCAAGATAGTACCATTGCACTTCAGCCTGGGCAAAACAGCAAGACTCCATATGAAAAAAAAAAAATGTATTAAACAAACAACAAAAAAAGAAAATTATGGGTCTAGCATGAGTACCAGTCATGTTAAAACAGAGAATTTGCATGTGGAGATTATGAACCAAAGCCAAAAAATAATACAGTAATAAATTCAGTATAAAAGCACAGAGCATAAATTTGCTTTAAGCATTTTTGAGACTTTGTTTTCTAGTAAATTAGACACCTTCTTAAAATGATTTGTCTCAATATTGCTTTTTTCTGCTAAAAATAGTTATAAACTTATACTCGGCCGGGCGCGGTGGCTCAAGCCTGTAATCCCAGCACTTTGGGAGGCCGAGGCGGGTGGATCACAAGGTCAAGAGATCGAGACCATCCTGGTCAACATGGTGAAACCCTCTCTCTACTAAAAATACAAAAAATTAGCTGGGCATGGTGGGGCGTGCCTGTAATCCCAGCTACTCAGGAGGCTGAGACAGGAGAATTGCCTGAACCCAGGAGGCGGAGGTTGCGGTGAGCCGAGATCGCGCCATTGCACTCCAGCCTGGGTTACAAGAGTGAAACTGTGTCTCAAAAAAAAAAAAAAAAAAAAAAAAAAAACTTATACTCACACAAACACACTTCATAATTTATTTACACCTAAGGTTTATCTTTAGACTAATAGATGTGTATATTTAACACTATGTAAATCAATAGTAACAGTTCATATTTGCTTGCAGGCAAAGGCCATGTGGTCAAAGAAAAATAAATTTTTAAAAAAGATTTATTCAAGACTCAGAAATGTATAGATTTTATGTTTGAAAATTTAACCTTGTAGTCAGTTACAATTTAATTGTATATTTAAAAATAACTAAAATTGTAGATTTGAATTACTTGTAATACAAAGAATAAATACTAGAGGTAATGGATACATTTCCTCTAATGTGATTATTATATATTGGATGCCTGTATCCAAATATGCCATATATGGCATAAATATATATACATATTATGTATCCACAAAAATTAAGAAAAATAAATTTGAATGTGAAAATAAGAACAAAAAATACACTATAGAAACAATATTCTTTAACTTATGGACAATATAAAGCCACTGGCAAAAAAAAAAAAGATTACTAGAGATATCAGTCCATTATCTTACCAAATAGTGTATTGTTACCATCTTTTACCTACAGCCTGAGTAAGGTGGAATAGGTTAAAGTTAGTAGCATAACACTTCATTGAATTCACAATGGTATGTAACATGTTAAAAATGTTAAATGGAAAAGATCACATATAATTTATAATTTCAACAATATATTGCATATTATTCCATAGAAGTACAACACCCTAACTTAATTTTAACTAAAATCAAAAATGTTATTCTTTAATAATAATGCAGAAAAATATTACCCTCAACATCTACCTCAGGAATCACTCAATATTACAAATTACCCACAGAGCCTCTCTACTTAAATCTTCATCATGCATCTTACATTTTAATCTTTACCATTCCATAGAAAAAAGGTAATAATGCCTATCTAATTAAAAAAAAAAAAACCCTTATATCTTTTATGCAGCAACAATTAGTCACATGCCTTCACATGTCAATATACCAGGAATGATAAAACAACATGAAGCAATTTAAGAGTTTAACTCCATTATTATTCACTTTTTAAAAATCCTGTTAACTCTCCAAAAACTATTGTACTTCTTTTAAAGTTATATACAAATATTTACACAAACTTTAGTTTGTATTATTTTCTATACTCAGTGATTTAGTGTAATGTCTAAAGTTTGAGTGCCCCAGCTATTTCTACTGTGAATTATTCCCTGATATTAAGACTTAATTTTGGATTCAATATCTTTTATATTTACTGCCTCTGCAAAAATACATTTTAGTATGAACTCTTTGGTGTTTTATAGTTTGTAGTTTTTGAAAAAATGTTTTTCCAAATTCATTACACTTGCAGGGTTTTCTTCAATATAAACTAAAGCAAAATAAATACTCTTCTACACTTTAAAGACATATTTTCTGATATACCTTTTGATAGTGATTATACTTTTAATGCTTTTATTTAGTATGAATGCTCTGATTTTGAGTAAGATGTGAGCAGGTATTAATGGCTTTTTAACTGTCTATATTTGTATATTTGTTCTCAAGTATAAATGCTTTCCTGTGCAATAAGTTGTGAGCATTAGTTAGAAGCTTGGCCACATTGTTCACATTGGTAGTTTTCTCCAGAATGAATTATCTTATCTAAAATCAAGTGCGACAATCATTTAAAGGCTTTGCCAAATTTTTTACATTTGTAGGGTTTCTCTTTAATATAAATGGTCTTATGTTTACGAAGAGTTGAGGACCATTTAAATGCTTTGCCGCATTTGTAGGGTTTCTCTCCAGTGTTCATCACTTTATATCTAGTTAGGTTGGAGGACCATAGCAATGCTTTGACACCTTCTTCACATTTGTACGGTTTCTCTTTAGTATGAATTACCTTACGTTTAGTAATGGTAGGGGACCAGATTAATGTTTTGCCACATTCTTCACATTTGTAAGGTTTCTCTCCAGTATGAATTATCTTATGTATAGTAAAATTTGAGGATTCATTAAAAATTTTGCCACAATCTTCACATTTGTAGAGTTTCTCTACACCATGAATTATTTTATGTATAGTAAGGGTTGAGAGTTGCTTAAAAGCTTTGCCACATTCTATACATTGGTAGGGTTTCTCTCAATATAATTTACCTTATGTGTAGTAAGGGTTGAGGAAAGCTTTGCCACATTCTTCACATTTGTAGGGGTTCTCTCCAGTGTGCATTCTCTTATGTTTTCTTAGGGTTGAAGACCAAATAAATGTTTTGCCACATTCTTTACAACTGTAGTGTTTCTCTCTAGTATGAATTATCTTTTTTTTTTTTTTTTTTTTGAGACAGAGTTTCGCTCTTGTTACCCAGGCTGGAGTGCAATGGCGCGATCTCGGCTCACCACAACCTCCGCCTCCTGGGTTCAGGCAATTCTCCTGCCTCAGCCTCCCGAGTAGCTGGGATTACAGGCACGTGCCACCATGCCCAGCTAATTTTTTGTATTTTTAGTAGAGACGGGGTTTCACTATGTTGACCGGGATGGTCTCGATCTCTCGACCTTGTGATCCACCCGCCTCGGCCTCCCAAAGTGCTGGGATTACAGGCTTGAGCCACCGTGCCCGGCCTAGTATGAATTATCTTATATTCAGTAAGGATTGAGGACCATATAAATGCTTTGCCACATTCTTCACACTTGTAAGGTTTCTTTCTTATATGAATTATCTTATGCTTAGTAAAGGATGAGGATCAGATAAATACTTTGCCACATTCATCGCACTTGTAAGGTTTCTCTTCAGTATCAATTATATGTAGTAAGATTTGAGGATCAATTAAAAGCTTTGCCACATTTTCTACATTTGTGGAGTTTCTCTACATCATGAATTATTTTGCATGTAGTAAGGGTCGAGTGTTGCTTAAAAGCTTTGCCACATTCTTCACATTTGCTGAGTTCCTCTCCAGTGTGCATCCTCTTATGTTTAGTTAGGGTCGAAAACTGGCTAAATGCTTTGTCACATTCTTTACATTTGTAGGGTTTGTCTCCAGTATGAATTATCTTATGTGTAGTAAGATGTGAGGACTGGCTAAAAGCTTTGCCACATTCTTCACATTTATAGGGTTTCTCTCCAGTGTGCGTTCTCTTATGTATAGTTAGGGTTGAGGATTGGCTAAATGCTTTGCCACATTCTTCACATTTGTAGGGTTTCTCTCTAGTGTGAATTCTCTTATGTTCAGTAAGGGTTGAGGACCATATAAATGCTTTGCCACATTCTTCACATGTGTAAGGTCTCTCTCCAGTATGAATTATTTTATGTTTCGTAAGATTTGAGGATCGATTAAAAGCTTTGCCACATTCTTCACATTTGTAGAGCTTCTCTCCAGTATGCATCCTCTTATGCTTAGTTAGAGTTGAGAATTGGTTAAAAGCTTTGCCACATTCTTCACATTCGTAGGGTTTCTCTCCAGAATGGATTATCTTATGTGTACTTAGGTGTGAGGATTGGCTAAAAGCTTTGCCACATTCTTCACATCTGTACGGTTTCTCTCCAGTGTGCATCCTCTTATGTTTAATTAGAGTTGTGGACCACCTAAATGCTTTGCCACATTCTTCACATTTGTAGGGTTTCTCTCTAGTATGAATTCTCTTATGTGCAGCAAGAGTTGAGAACCATAAAAACGCTTTCCCACATTCTTCACATTTGTAAGATTTCCCTCTAGTATGAATTCTCTTATGGTTAGTAAGGGATGAGGACCAGATAAATGCTTTGCCACATTCTTCACACTTGTAAGGTTTCTCTCCAGTATGAATTATCTTATGTGTAGTAAGACTTGAGCATCGATGAAAAGCTTTGCCACATTCTTCACATTTGTAGGGTTTTTCTCTAGTATGAATTATCTTCTGTGTAGTAACAGTTGAGGATTGGCTACAAGCTTTGTCACATTCTTCACGTTTCTGGGGTTTATCTCTAGTATGAATTCTCTTATGTGTAGTAAGATTTGATGATCGATTAAAAGCTTTGCCACATTCTTCACACTTGTAAGGTTTCTCTCCAGTATGAATTATCTTATGTGTAGTAAGGTTAAAGGATTGATTAAAAGCTTTGCCACATTCTTCACATTTGTAGGGTTTCTCTCTAGTGTGCATTCTCTTATGTTTAGTCAGGGTTGAGGACAACATAAATGCTTTGCCACATTCTTCACATTTGTAGAGTTTCTTTCCAGTATGAATTATCTTACTGGTAGTAAGATTTGAGGGTCGATTAAAAGCTTTGCAACATTCTTCACACTTGTATGGTTTCTCTCCAGTATGAATTATCTTATGTGTAGTAAGGGCAAAGCATTGATTAAAAGCTTTGCCACAATCTTCACATTTGTAGGGTTTCTCTCCAGTATGAATTATCTTATGTGTAGTAAGGGTTGAGGATTGGCTATAAGTTTTCCCACATTCTTCACATTTATAGGGTTTCTCCCTACTGTGCATCCTCTTATATCTAGTTAGGGTTGAGGATTGGCTACATGCTTTGTCAAATTCTTTACGTTTGTAGGGTTTGTCTCTAGTGTGATTTCTCTTATGTTCAGCAAGGGTTGAGGACCATATAAATGATTTGCTACATTCTTCACATTTGTAAGGTTTCTCTCCAGTATGAATTATCTTATGTGTAGCAAGCCTTGAAGATCGATTAAAAGCTTTGCCACATTCTTTACATTTGTAGGGTTTCTCTCCAGTGTGTATCCTCTTATGTTTAGTTAGGGTTGAGGACCATAAAAATGCTTTGCCACAATCTTCACATTTGTACGGTTTCTGTCTAGTATAAATTCTCTTATGTTCAGTAAGGTTTGAGGTCCATATAAATCCTTTGCCAAATTCTTCACATTTGTATAGTTTCCCTCCAGCATGATTTTTATGTGTAGTAAGGGTTGAAAGTTGCTTCACAGCTTTGCCATCTTCGCATTTGTAGGGTTTCTTTTTAGTATGAATTTTCTTATGATAAGTAAGGTTTGAGAACCAATTAAAGGCTTTTCTACATTCTTTACATTTGTAAAACTTTTCTGTATTATAAATGCTTTTATGCTGAGTTTTATGTGAAAGCATGCAAAATGATTTTACACATATTTTATACTTGAAAGCTTTCTTTCCAGTATGTCTTACCTTATGTCTGTTTGAATTTAAGAATCTATAAAAGACTTTCAAATATTTACCACATTGAAATACTTTTCTTTGGGTAGTTGTGAAACAATGGTTAAGTCCATTATAATTTTCTTTGTGGACCTTATAGTCATCCATACTTTTATAGCTTTTTCTTAACTGTAAATTATCATGTCCACATTTTTTGTGTCTTCTCAGTATTACTTTTTGATAAGAATCTTCCATGCCCTGCTGTAGCCAAAGATCTTGAGCAAAATGAGGACACATACCTGAAAAATAATAATAATTACTCCACTTACTAGACTCACATTAATATAGTTCTAAAATCTTACCTACAAAATTATACAAACTACATAAACAAGATGGCACTGCAAAAGACCATAGGCCCTAATACTTTCATTCACATGTAATTGTAACAAAAACCTACAGACTAAAACACCTGTGGAAAATTTATAAATGAGTTAAGTGTGTGCAGTATCCCAGATAAACATAATGCAAAACCTACATAGAAGGAAAAGAAAAGTCTGTTAAATTTACCCAACACAGCTTTTCCTGCTTCCCACTATAATATAAGGACTTTAGAAGTAAATTCCCAACTCTTGGTTTCTGTTTTTAAAAGAATAAGTAAAATACTAGCACATTCACCATCATTTCTGGGTTTTAAGGGCTTTTCCTGACACTGGTTTCTGTCTCTGATGGCATAAAGTGCTGAAAGAAATGGTGGCATATGTTGGAATGAGAGTTTGAGTCTGCTGAGACCAAGGAAAAATGTTACAGCAGCAGACAGACTGCAGTAAAGGGAGACCACAGAAAGAGAGCAGGTGTAGCAAGTGATTACTGACCCCTACAAAGTAATATGAGTAAACTCTCTTAACTAAAAAACAAACACAAAATTTTAGACAACACATATCCATAAAACATGTTTGAGAAACTCCCATGATCACCAGCCAAGTGTTTTCAGACTATGCCAGTACAAAGCTGCCAATAGGTAAAATTAAGGCAAATTTCTTTCACCAAATTATTCAGTAGATATCATTTGTTATCTGGAATATCAGCCAGGCACGGTGGCTCATGCCTGTAATCCCAGCTACTTGGGAGGCTGAGGCAGAAGAATCATTTGAACCCAGGAACCAGAGGTTGTGGTGAGCCAAGACCCAGCCTGGGCAACAAGAGCTAGACTCCATCTCAAAAAATAAATAAATAAATAAATAAATAAATAAATAAATAAATAAAATCTGTAATACCACTCAGTATTCATCAACCAGGATCTAGTCTACTAACTATAAAGTAGATGCCATTATACAAATAAAATAAGGCAGTCACAAAAAGACAGAGATTGTTTGAGATACATGAAGCAGTTACATTCTTAAAAACAAAGAAGAGAGTGGTGATTGCAAAGTGCCATAAAACAGAAAAAATTGAGACCACGCACGGTAGCTGACACCTGCAATCCCAGCACTTTCAGAGGCCAAGGCAGGTGGATGACTTGAGGTCAGGTGTTTAAAATCTGCCTGGCCAACATGGTGATATGCCATCTCTACTAAAAATGCAAAAATTAGCCAGGCATGATGGTGGGTACCTGTAATCCCAGCTACTCAGGAGGCTGAAGCACAAGAATTACTTGAACCTAGAAGGCGGAGGTTGCAGAGAGCTGAGATCATGCCACTGCACTCCAGCCTAAGTGACACAGTAAGGCTCCATCTCGAAAAAGAAAAAAAAAAAAAGTAGTTGTTTAATATGTATTAAGATTTAGCTTTGCAAAATAAAACCATTTTAGCAATATGTTACATGACAAAGTGAAAATAACTAATATGACTAAACTGAATATTTAAAACTATTTTGTGGTAATTTTTTTGACAGGTAAAAATAAACAATAATACCTAAAAGACATACAGAGTCATAATAGTTTTAATTATATTCAAATCCAAGTGTTTCTCCCACACAAAAATCATATCAATTCACAAGTAAATAGGATGTTGAAATTATAAGAATTTTATGACTACTCATCTATACAAAATTAGAAAACCATTCACAACAAACCTATACAACAAATATACAAGTCATAAAAAGAATACAAGTATAACACTTTCACAGGCAAACAGAGATAATTCTATTAGAAAAATACATATGGCTAATTCATACCTGATTTTGCTCCACATTGCCTTAAATTGTACAAAGCTAAATATTGGCATGTACAATTATAATATATACTAAAAAATCAAAACACAATTAACAGATGTGTGGTGGCATACCCTAAAATATAAAACACAAAAATATAAAATTGCAAAACAAAAAAAAACATAGAATGTAAAACTTATTAGACACCATCAACTAGATCAACATATTCCTTAAGAAAATCTTAGGGCCGGGCGCGGTGGCTCAAGCCTGTAATCCCAGGCACTTTGGGAGGCCGAGGCGGGTGGATCACGAGGTCAAGAGATCGAGACCATCCTGGTCAACATGGTGAAACCCCGTCTCTACTAAAAATACTAAAAATTAGCTGGGCATGGTGGCGGGTGCCTGTAATCCCAGCTACTCAGGAGGCTGAGGCAGGAGAATTGCCTGAACCCAGGAGGCGGAGGTTGCGGTGAGCCGAGATCGCGCCATTGCACTCCAGCCTGGGCAACAAGAGCGAAACTCCGTCTCAAAAATAATAATAATAATAATACAGCAGTTACTTGAAGATAAAAAAAGGTGAGAACCTTCCAAATGTTGATGTAATTTAAAATATTCCTAACCAATAATAATTGATTGAAATTTATTTCAATTCAAAAAGAAGACAAAAATAAAAAATTTCCAAAATAAAAGCTGAGGGTGTTCATCACCCACTAGTAAAGTTCTTTTTTTTTTTTGAGACGGAGTTTCGCTCTTGTTACCCAGGCTGGAGTGCAATGGCGCGATCTTGGCTCACCGCAACCTCCGCCTCCCGGGTTCAGGCAATTCTCCTGTCTCAGCCTCCTGAGTAGTTGGGATTACAGGCATGCGCCACCATGCCCAGCTAATTTTTTGTATTTTTAGTAGAGACGGGGTTTCACCATGTTGATCAGGATGGTCTCGATCTTTTGACCTCGTGATCCAACCGCCTCGGCCTCCCAAAGTGCTGGGATTACAGGCTTGAGCCACCGCGCCCGGCCAGTAAAGTTCTAAAAAAACAAAAAAAATGCTACATGGTGACCAGACACCGTGGTTCATGTCTGTAATCCTAGAGTTTTAGGACGCCAAGGCTGTCAGAACACGAGACCAGGAGTTTAAGATCAGATTGAGACTATGCATATAAAAAAAAGAAATGCTGAAATGAGTCAATTTTGTTTAAAAATAAAATAATCGCGCCATTGTACTCCAGCCTGGGTAACAAGAGCGAAACTCCGTCTCAAAAAAAAAAATGAAAAAAAAAATACAAAAATTAGCTAAGTGCAGTGGTGCGTGGTTGCAATCCCAACTACTCAGGAGGCTCAGGCAGAAGAATCACTTGAACATGGGAGGCAGAGGTTGCAGTGAGCCAAGATTGTGCCACTGAATTCTAGTCTGGGTGACAGGGCAAGACTCTGTCTTAAAATATAAAAACTAAAAGAAATAAAACCCATGTTAATTGTTGGTGGAAAACAGGATACACCCATTATTTTATAATGTTATAAATGTACTTCAAATAATTAGAAATGCAATTATCAAATACAGCAATTCCATTTATGAATCTATATCTAAAATATGCAACATAGAACCTTGATGACATATTTAATACAATGGAATATTATTCAGCCTAAAAAAAACAAACAAAAAAACCTCTTCTCACATTTATTTTACTTTATTTCTTTTTTTTTTTTTTTTTTTAAATACAAAAGTTTATTCTTAAATGTACAACAGCTCCAAGACAACATTTAATTCCAGCTATAGGTGGCAAAGGATGCTATGGCAGGGAATACAGATGTTTAAATACGGATGAAATAAAGGGTCACCATCTCCTCAAGGACAAGGAACAGCTTACTTTTTGCCAGATTTCTTAATTCCACCTGTGGCCAGGGGCCCCTTCCCCGCGGCCTTTGCTTTTAGCTCTTCGAGTTTCTTCTGCTCTTCTTTTTGTTTCTGCTTGAAAGCCTTGTCTTCCTCGTCCATCTCCTTGGCCTGCTTCTTGGGCTGTTTCAGGGGCTTCTTCTTGCCACCTTCCCGGCCGGACATGGCGCCTGCCGCCCCTTTCCCCACTTTATTTCTTTTTGTTGAGACAGAGTTTCGCTCTTGTTACCCAGGCTGGAGTGCAATGGCGCGATCTCGGCTCACCGCAATCTCCGCCTCCTGGGTTCAGGCAATTCTCCTGCCTCAGCCTCCTGAGTAGCTGGGATTACAGGCACGTGCCACCATGCCCAGCTGATTTTTTTTTTGTATTTTTAGTAGAAACGGGGTTTCACCATGTTGACCAGGATGGTCTCGATCTCTTGACCTCATGATCCACCCGCCTCGGCCTCCCAAAGTGCTGGGATTACAGGCTTGAGCCACCGCGCCCGGCCCTCTTGTCACATTTAAAGGTACACTTTGATAATGTCAAAGTGTATCTGTAAATGAAATGATAAATGTCATGATTTCAGTTATATCAGCTACATAATAAAATAGTCACTCTTATAAAAACAGAAAGTGAAAGGGCATTTGTCAAGGCCTGAAGAGAGCATAAAACGAGTTAATGTTATTTAATGGATATTGGGTTTTAGTTTAACAAGATGTAAAATGTCTTGAAGTCTTTTGCATAAAAGTGTAAATACAATCAACATGCCTAAAATATACAGTTTTGCGTGTGTGTTTTTGGTTTTGGTTTTTTTTTTTTTTTTTTTGAGACGGAGTTTCGCCCTTGTTACCCAGGCTGGAGTGCAATGGCGCGATCTCGGCTCACCGCAACCTCCGCCTCCTGGGCTCAGGCAATTCTCCTGCCTCAGCCTCCTGAGTAGCTGGGATTACAGGAACGTGCCACCATGCCCAGCTAATTTTTTGCACTTTTAGTAGAGACGGGGTTTCACCATGTTGACCAGGATGGTCTCGATCTCTCGACCTCGTGATCCACCCGCCTCGGCCTCCCAAAGTGCTGGGATTACAGGCTTGAGCCACCGCGCCTGGCGGTTTTGGTTTTTTTGAGACAGGTATAATTATAATCGGGCTGGGGGCAGTGGCTCACGCCAATAATACCAGCACTTTGGGAGGCCAAGGCGGGTAGATCACTAGGTCAAGAGATCGAGACCATTCTGGTCAACATGGTGAAACCCCGTCTCTACAAAAAATATATATGTATATAATTATAATTGTGCCACCGCACTCAAGTGTTACCCACACTTGACACAATTATAGCTCACTGCAGCCTCACACTCATCTCTCAAGTAGCTGGGACCACAGGTGCACACCACCATGCCTGGCCATTTCTTAGAAAAAATGTTTGTAGAGACGGTGTCTCCATATTTTGCCCAGGCTGGTCTCAAACTTTTGGTCTCAAGCAATCCTGCTATTCTGGCCTCTCAAAATCCTGATTCTACAGATATGACCCAGCATCATGTCTGCTCCTGACATGTACATCTACATAGGTGTAAGAAGGTGAATTATATGTGTTTTCATAACAATTATTTTTTGAAAAACAAAGAAATACAACATTATAGATCTTTTTAAAAATTACTTTCAAAGCACAAAGGTGTTTTTTTAACACCAAAAAAACACATATTCATCATTAAACACATGGTGAAAATAATACAATTTTCAAGGCCACTCAGTTAGACAAGATAAAACCAACACTGAAAATGAGCTAAGAGGCCAGGCACAGTCGCTCATACCTATAATCCCAGCAATCTGGGGAATCAAGATGGGCAGATGACCTGAGGTCCAGAGTTCGAGACAAGCCTCACAAGCATGGCAAAATGTCTACTAAAAGAAAACTACAGGCCGGGCGCGGTGGCTCAAGCCTGTAATCCCAGCACTTTGGGAGGCCGAGGCGGGTGGATCACGAGGTCGAGAGATGGAGGCCATCCTGGTCAACATGGTGAAACCCCGTCTCTACTAAAAATACAAAAAACTAGCTGGGCGTGGTGGCGCGTGCCTGTAATCCCAGCTACTTAGGAGGCTGAGGCAGGAGAATTGCCTGAGCCCGGGAGGCGGAGGTTGCGGTGAGCCGAGATCGCGCCATTGCACTCCAGCCTGGGTAACAAGAGCGAAACTCCGTCTCAAAAAAAAAAAAAAGAAAAAAAAGAAAACTACAGGGCCAGGCACGGTGGCTCACACCTGTAATTCCAGCACTTTGGGAGGTGAAGGTGGGTGGATCATGAGGTCAGGAGATCAAGACCATCCTGGCCAACATGGTGAAACCCCATCTCTACTAAAAATATACACACAAAAAATTAGCTGGGCGTGGTGGCACATGCCTATAGTCTCAGCTACTCTGGAGGCTGAGGCAGAGAATTGCTTCAACCCCGGAGACAGAGATTGCAGTAAGCTGAGATCAAGCCACTGCACTACAGCCTGGGTGACTTTGCAAGACTCCATTCCAAAAAAAAAAAAAAAACAAAACCTGCAAAATTAGCCAAGCATGATGGCACGTGCCTGTAATCCCAGCTATTTGGGAGGCTGAGGCTGGAGAATCACTTGAACCAGGGAGGCAGAGGTTAGAGTGAGCAAAGATCATGCATTGCACTCTAGCCTCATCAACAAGAGCAAAACTACGTCTCAAAAAAAAAAGAAAGAAAAAGAGGAGGAAGTAGAGGAGAAAATGAGCTAAGAAAGAATATATACAAGATAAGCTGTAATCAAAATTAGTGTCATATTTGTAAATATAAACACATAGATATAATCTAATTGTGATAAACCATATGGCTCATTTATCTTTTAATTAAACCCCACACTGACTTAAAGTATACAAGCAGAATTGCAAATTGTCTAAAATGATAATTCATAAGTAAAATCAAAAACACAATAAACTGATGTTAAGAACTAAAAAAAAAAAACACTAATATAGAACTGCAAGACCATAATCAAAGAAATCTTTACTCATAAAATCTCGTTGACAACATTAATGTACATTAACAAATCATTTGTGTAGTAACTGTAATGTCTGACTATAACTGTGCATTCATGAAAGGCAGGCATTTTAAATTACTGGTATCTATTGTATGGCAATAAAATTTCAGGGAACATGTAATACAATCATAAATAGGAGCTGCTAATGACAAACTTTTAATAGATATTAATTTAGAAGAAACGTGTCAATTTTTTTTTTTTTTTTTTTTTGAGACAGAGTTTTGCTCTTGTTACCCAGGGTGGAGTGCAGTGGCGCGATCTCAGCTCACTTCTACCTCCGCCTCCTGGGTTCAAGCAATTCTCCTGCCTCAGCCTCCCAAGTAGCTGGGACTACAGGCGTGTGTCACCATGCCCAGCTAATTTTTTTGTATTTTTAGTAGAGACAGGGTTTCACCATGTTGATCAGGATGGTCTCAATCTCTTCACCTCGTGATCCATCCACCTCAGCCTCCCAAAGTGCTGGGAATATAGGCATGAGCCGCCGCGCCCAGCCGAAATGTGTCAATTTTTATGTTTTGAGTATACGCTATTTTATCACAAAATAAAACTACTGTAATCCAAGTTTAGCATTAAAGAATGGTCTTAAATTGCTAAATTATGCATATATTTAGCAGAATATGGTTAGACTCACATATAAAACAAATATTTGAGGAGTACACTATGTTATTATTTAGATCTAGGCTGACAAAAGTGGTTGAAAATTCTGTGATTCCTTTTTGCCTGCCTGCATACGAATTATATAATTTAATTCAGGCACAATATGTAAATTCTAGTATAATGCCCTAAATGTCTGAATCTAAAATTACAGACAAATTTGAAGTAGAAAATAAAAAGTAAAATTTATATGGAGAGTGACATTAATACGATTAAAAAAAAACAAAGGTGCCCTATTTGCTTAATCCCTGACAGCAAGATAATTTGTAGGCCATTCCAGACAAAAATGCCTTTATGAAAGAAGCAGGCATCATGGTTCACACCTGTAAATACAGCCACATGGTACATTAAAGTTGGACAATTGCTTCTGGTCAAAACCTGCCTGGGTTATGCAGCAAGACCCCATCACAAGATCCAGGAAGGGAGTTGTGAAACTCTGCTAAAGCCCAAGATTGAAGGTAATCCTCTTTAGACTAAGGCAGGCCCTCATTCAGGTGGCAAACTACAGGACTACTGTTTTCGGCTACAGACAAGAAAATGTTCCACCTAGCCGGGCGCGGTCGCTCAAGCCTGTAATCCCAGCACTTTGGGAGGCCGAGGCGGGTGGATCACGAGGTCAAGAGATCGAGACCATCCTGATCAACATGGTGAAACCCCGTCTCTACTAAAATACAAAAAATTAGCTGGGCATGGTGGCACGTGCCTGTAATCCCAGCTAGTCAGGAGGCTGAGGCAGGAGAATTGCCTGAACCCAGGAGGTGGAGGTTGCGGTGAGCCGAGATCGCGCCATTGCACTCCAGCCTGGGTAACAAGAGCGAAACTCCGTCTCAAAAAAAAAAAAAAGAAAATGTTCCACCTAACTTGGTTCCACTGAGAATTCTGAACTTACTCCTTCACCAAAAATAAATTTTCAAATATTTTATTCCTATTGAAAGAATAAGTATTGTAAAACTGCCATATTATCCAAAGTAATCTATAGATTCATTAAACTCCCTATGAGAATTTCAGTGATTTTTTTTTCACAGTAATCAAAAATACAATCTTTTTTTTTTTTTTTTTGAGACGGAGTTTCGCTCTTGTTACCCAGGCTGGAGTGCAATGGCGCGATCTCGGCTCACCGCAACCTCCACCTCCTGGGTGCAGGCAATTCTCCTGCCTCAGCCTCCTGACTAGCTGGGATTACAGGCACGCGCCACCACGCCCAGCTAATTTTTTGTATTTTTAGTAGAGACGGGGTTTCACCATGTTGACCAGGATGGTCTCGATCTCTTGACCTCGTGATCCACCTGCCTCGGCCTCCCAAAGTGCTGGGATTACAGGCTTGAGCCACCGCGCCCGGCTCAAAAATACAATCTTAAAAGGTACTTGAAACTACAATAAACTTTGAATAGCCAAAGCAATCTTGAGGAAAAAGAACAAAGCAGAAGGACATCATACTTTATGATTACAAACTATATTTCAAGACTACAATAATGAAAACAGGATAAAATGTGCAGAAAAATAAACAACAAAAAACCAATAGAACGGAAACGACTACTCTCATGCGTTTTAGACATGATGCAAAAAGAGAACTTAAAGACAGTCTAACATAGAGTATCTCAAAATTGTACAGCCGTCAGTCCATAAAAACAAGAAAAAAGAAGTCAGATTGTCCACTCTTTTGTATGCCATGAACAGTGCTTTGGCTGTCACTGTAAACTTGAAGGAAGGTCACTGAAGGGAAAGTAGAATTCTTTAACATTTTATAAGCATAAGCAGAAGATGCCCCTATGTGACAGTATAACTTTAAAAGGATTTCAGGCTTCCCACAAACTATTTACTCAGGAACACAGCTTCCCAAATCACTTTAAAGACTGGCTTTCTTGACTTTAGACCTCTCATCCATTTCGTCTGTGTTCACTCTCACCTACCTGGGGGTTCATCCACCACTGCATGTCGCTTCGTCTTCCAGGGCTCTTTTTCTTTCTCCAGACAGGCGATCAGGTCTGGCTTAGAGACAGCAATACCTGTTTTATTAAAAATAACTAACATGAATCTTGCTCATGTTCTCCAATTACCAACTTAGTAATGTGCTCAGTAAAGAGGATACAACAGAATATTCTTTTTTTTTTTTTTGAGACAGAGTTTCCCTCTCGTTACCCAGGCTGGAGTGCAATGGCGCGATCTCGGCTCACCGCAACCTCCGCCTCCTGGGTTCAGGCAATTCTCCTGCCTCAGCCTCTTGAGTAGCTGGGATTATAGGCACGCACCACCATGCCCAGCCAATTTTTTGTATTTTTAGTAGAGACGGGGTTTCACCATGTTGACCAGGTTGGTCTCGATCTCTCGAGCTCGTGATCCACCCGCCTCGGCCTCCCAAAGTGCTGGGATTACAGGCTTGAGCCACCGCGCCCGGCCACAACAGAATATTCTAATAAATTTATCCCAATGTACTTATAACAGAAATGTTTAAATATTTAGAACATATTTTAATTTTGTAGGATCTTAATTTTACTGCCTGGTACTAATGAATCATAAACTGGTGATGGCAATTTGATTTTACAGTATGAATTACAATATTTTATGCCACTAAACTTCTGAAATTACCACTAATCTGAAGTAAAGTACACAGATCAGCTCAGAAATGTAAAAGTTCAGATCAAGATAAAACATTTTGAAATTATTTTCTAAACAAACAAATCCGCAGAAAACACTGTACCAAAAAAATGAAACCTTTAGTTTATATTAGAAATTTTGTATTAAAGTTATCCTCACCCAGGAAGGCCAGGTTTCTGTAGTTCTCTAACATCACATTTCTATATAAATTCTGCTGACCAGTGTCCAGGCATTGCCACTCCTCCAGAGAGAACTCTATGGCCACATCCATAAATGTCAACGGTCCCTGAAAAACACACATAAACACACATATTTACAAAGTGGCTCTTGGCAGAATTTTTTATTTTACTCAAGGTGAAATGAGAAAATGAATAGAATTAGTTCTGACTTATAAGAGTGGTTGAAATTGGCCAGCGCGGTGGCTCACGCCTATAATCCCAGCACTTTGGGAGGCCGAGGTGGGTGGATCACGAGGTCAAGAGATCGAGACCATCCTTGTCAACACGGTGAAACCCTGTCTCTACTAAAAATATAAAAATCAGCTGGGCATGGTGGTGCACGCCTGTAGCCCAGTTACTCGGGAGGCTGAGGCAGGAGAATTGCTTGAACCCAGGAGACAGAGGTTGCGGTGAGCCGAGATTGCGCCATTGCACTCCAGCCTGGGTAACAAGAGTGAAACTCCGTCTCAAAAAAAAAAAAAAGTGGTTGAAATTATCTAATGAAATAACACACAAACGTTTTGTAACATATTCTCTAACTCTCAGAAAAGAGAGTAGCATAATATTCACAACATCAGTGCAGATATGATACTGGTCTAAATGATAAATCATAAAATGGAAGGCATAAACACTAACATGTACGCTTTTAGTGCTATATTTACATCATACAGAATGAGTTGTGTATATTTTTTCAGATAAAAAAGACATAGTTGTTTATATTTTTCAGACAAAATAGACATGTTGAGTTAGAAGGTGCCACTCAAATTTTAATGTGTACAATAAACTGAACATCTTGTAAATGCAGAGCATTTTTTCAGGAGATACAAAATAAAGTCTGAGTTACTGATTTCTTCTGACAAGCTCACCAGTAATGCCAATGTTTTGGCCCCAAAAGACTATTTTGTCAAACATCCAGTAAGTGGAAGAGCCTGCGTTTTCCTCAGTTTTTCTGGACTGCAAACAAAGATGAAAGCTTTCATTTATCAAATAAAGATAAACTCAAAGAAAACGTTTAAAAAAGTGTGTGTGTAGGGGGGGCCAGCTGCCAGATTAAATGTGATGGCTTATGCACATCATCTGCATAAAGATACTTAATGATGAAGAGAAAAATAACTCCATAGTGGAAAAATCTGTAAGAGAGCGTATTAAGTGAGTTATTAACATCAACTGTACTAGGACAATTTTTGATAGTGTACTAATGCTCCTAGAAGAACACAGCATCACTACTGATCTATTGCCCCCATTAAAGTAAATTAGTCTAAATTTAATCAGAGGAAAACATCAGTTTTGTGGAAAGTTCAAGACAGATATCTTCCATGGCCGGGCGCGGTGGCTCACGCCTGTAATCCCAGCACTTTGGGAGGCAGAGGCAGGTGGATCATGAGGTCAAGAGATCGAGACCATCCTGGTCAACATGGTGAAACCCCGTCTCTACTAAAAACACAAAAAATTAGCTGGGCATGGTGGCGTGTGCCTGTAATCCCAGCTACACAGGAGGCTGAGGCAGAATTGCCTGAACCCAGGAGGCGGAGGTTGCGGTGAGAGGAGACGGCGCCATTGCACTCCAGCCTGGGTAACAAGAGTGAAACTCCGTCTCAAAGAAAAAAAAAATAAATAAAAAGTTATCTTCCATGTGCTACACTTGTTTTTCTTTTTCCTTTGCTTTTTTATTTTTATTTTAAACAGGATTTTACTTTTTTTTTTTTTTTTTTTAAGATGGGGTTTCACCATATCGGCCAGGATGGTCTCTTTCTCCTGACTTCGTGATCCGCCCGCCTAGGCCTCCCAAAGTGCTGGGATTACAGGCGTGGCCACCGCGCCCAGCCGGATTTTACTCTTGTAGCCTAGACTGAAGTACAATAGGGTGATCCCGGCTCACTGCAACCTCCAACTCCTGGGTTCAAGTGATTCTCTTGCCTAGGCCTCTCGAGTAGCTGGGATTATAGGTGCCCACCTCCATGCCCAAATAATTTTTGTATTTTTAGTAGTGACAGGATTTCACCATGTTTGCCAGGCTGGTCTCAAATGCAGGACTTCAGGTGATCCACCCACCTCGGCCTCCCAAAGTGCTGGGATTACAGGCGTGGGCCACCATGCCCGGCCGTTCTACACTTTTTAACAGTGAATTTATGTAATTTTTTTTTTAGCACCCTAATAAGTAGGTTATCTCCTGATAATTTTTCGGAACTTTCTGTGTAATAAATGCCATCCTCTTTAAATGAGCATTTTCTTAATCATGTAATGCAGAGAGATAATAAAGAAAACAGATTGAACCTCAACATTATATCTTCTCCATCTTTACTAAGAAACCCAGGTTTTCCCCATAGAAATAGAGTATCCACACCTTTCCATGTTCAGCAGCCACAAAGAGAAAATTTTTAATACTGCAGATCACAAATTCATGGTGAGAATTCTGCATGGCATATAAGGAGCCAAGATGTAGAGAAGGCTCTGGTATACAGAAAAATATTTTTTGGAGATTCTTCAGTATCATAAGCATTTTTAAAAGCAGTTAGGACCAACTCATATGGGAGAAAAAAGCACAAGTATAGAAGCAAAGATTCACCAGTACTAAATGCATGGCATTCCACAAGGCAGAGTGGACACAGCTCTTGATCTGAGATATGTTTAGCTGAAGAAATGCCATTTCTTTTCTTTCTCCTCCTCCAGAATTCTTTCTCAGATGATATTTTCAGGACTAATTACACCTGCATCTTGAAAATATGCCTTTAAAAATTTGAGCACCGGCCAGGCATGGTGGCTCACGCCTGTAATCCAAGCAGTTTAGGGCCAAGGCAGGCGGATCACCTGAGGTTGGGAGTTCAAGACCAGCCTCACCAACATGGTGAAACCCCATCTTTATTAAAATAAATAAATTAATTTAAAAAAATAAAAATTTGAGCACCATGTGTTTACCTGTTACCACCACACCCAAAGGCAGAAAGGCCTAAGACAGAAAAACTCTGCCCATTTGTGTCCTTTATAACAGAAAAGATGCAGGGACAATGAGCTGCTCCACAGAAATAAAAATATAAGCTTCTCTTTTTTTGTCCTCAGGTACCCTCCCCTGCTACAGACATCGGCAATTTCTGCTACAGTAATAGAAATATTGGCCACACTGTCCTGTCCTCACCAAACCCAAACAGAAGAGGTTCCTGGACCACCCTTTAGTGCAAAGGCAGAACTGAACTCTCATGAATGTATCTTGAACTCCTCATATTTGATTCTGGCACCTTAGTCACCTGAGGCACTTAATTAAAACAAATAGCTGCTTTCACCAAAAACATTAAACAGAGACTGTGAAAAGGGCACGAGAGAATCTGCAAACTGACCATATTATTCTAATTAGAAGCCTGGGCTTGTAACCACTTACCTAAGCACTGACACTCAAGCTTGAAATGAGCATATATATAAATCACTTGGTAAACTTAGCCCCACTCCATGTAATGTGATTCTGTAGGTTTGGAAAGGGTCTGTAAATGGGTGTTCTAAACAACTTCCCCATCAGTGCTAATGTCACTTTTTCTGGGCTGATTATTGGCATTAGTTAGAATAATGAGACACAGACAAAGTCCCTGACACTCGGCACTCTTGTCACAACACAAATACTTCTGATACAAACGAATACATCCACTCTCTATCTTAAAGTATTATATTATTTGCTGGCTCTTTCAAGTTTACAAAGAAAACAGAAAATAGCAATTTCTGAGTAACTTGCCATTTGGAAAACAACATGTGCACATGTACTAATGCAATGTTTATTAAGCAGGTACTATGTGCGCGATAGGATGCTACAGAGCACTCTGATAACCCATTGTTTGATTTAATTCTAATAACACCCTATAAGTTGATACTAAGTTTTAAATAATTCCACGAATTTAGAATAAAAACACAGTATTTTTATGTTTTCTTCTGTTTGTCACTGACTTCTTTGAAATGCATAGAATAAACTCTAAATATAGACAGATGAGGATACAGATAGAGTTCAATGTAATTTAGATAAATTTATATTGTATTATATTTACTGTTTTGTGAATCAACTACTCTATCTGCAGAAATGAAAAACAGGTTGCTAAATGGAACATCTCTGCAAACACTGGTTTTAATAAAAAATTAAGACACTATTCTACATATTTTACATTTTCCCTTTATCTGCTTTTGAGTTTTAGAAAATTGTGTGTACCAACTCTAAAAAGGCAACAGGATTCATCACCCAAAAGTCTTGCTATCCGCTAGTTAGTTCTGTGAAGCAAAACTCCAGGGTAGAGCCAGACCTAAGTGAGGCCTTCAAAATGAGTGAATCTGAACAGGACTGGGGCAGGCTGATGTAAAATTCTATTCTTTATGCACTGGGGAGTACTTTTAGTTCTGTTTCTTTTTCTTTTCTTTTCTTTTTTTTTTTTTATAATAGAGACGGGGTTTTATCATGTTGGTCAAGCTGGTCTTGAACTCCTAACCTCAGGTGATCCACCTGCCTCCACCTCCCAAAGGGCTGGGATTACAGGCTTGAGCCACCACAGCCAGCCTTCTGTTTCTTTTTTCAAGCTTATCAAAAAAAATTATTAAATTTCAGAGCTTGTATAATTTTAATCTTTTTTAGCCCCTCTGCCCTCTCAATTTTATATCACATACTAATAAACAATTTTTTAAATCCCTTAAGGTTTTATAGAATAATTGTTTTAGAAGTATTTTTAGCAAGGCATAAAAAATACAAATAGGCCAGGTGAGGTGGCTAACACTTGTATTCCCAGCACTTTGGGAGACCAAGGTGGGCAAATCACGAGGTCAGGAGTTTGAAACCAGCCTGGCCAACATAGTGAAATCCCATCTTTAGTAAAAATACAAAAATTAGCCAGGTGTGTGGCATGCATCTGTATTCCTAGCTACTCAGTAGTCCCAGGTAGGAGAATCCCTTAAACCTGGGAGCTGGAGGTTGCAGTGAGCCAAGACCATGCCATGGCACTCTAAGCCTGGGCGACAGAGTGACACTTTGTCTCAAAAAACAACAACAATAACTCTTTTGTTTATTAATAGTCATTCAGGTGTAGGTTTTCAGAAATCACAACAATATAAAGAAAAAGACCCAAATAAAACCCATACATTTGCACACATTTATTGTACCCACCATGTGATACATAACTAAACCAGTTATTAAGTTGCTATTCTAGACTAAAAGTTCTTGCATGGTAGGGACTATGACTGTCTATTTTTCTAATGACTACATGAAATGGAAGCAATTAGTTTATCTGTTTGAGTCTCCAGAAGTCCTCCTTGTTTTTCACCCAACTACCAGGGAACGGAAGAAACTCTCATCTGGGTACCAAGCAAAGACATCTGTTGTATGAGGGAAGGAACAAACACAGGATGACTCATTTGTTTTACACTAAGACAGAAGCAAAATTAATCACTCTTGTCAGCCTGACACAATTCTGTTCTGGAGATTCTCAAAAGACTAAAAGACGCATAGGTGATTGTGAGAGCATTTCCAGGGACCCTGGGCTGGATGGTGGTCCAATACTAAGGCAGCAAGAGAGACTCAGGTTGATTCTAAGAAGAACATGGAACTACCGGGCTGGGCACGGTGGCTCACACCTACAAATCCCAGCACTTTGGGAGGCCAAGGTGGGTGGATCACGAGGTCAAGAGATTGAGATCATCCTGGTCAACATGGTGAAACCCCGTCTCTACTAAAAATATGAAAATTAGCTGGGCATGGTGGCACGTGCCTGTAGTCCCAGCTACTCAGGAGGCTGAGGCAGGAGAATTGCTTGAACCCAGGAAGTGGAGGTTGCGGTGAGCCGAGATCGCACCATTGCACTCCAGCCTGGATAACAAGAGCGAAACTCCGTTCAAAAAAAAAAAAATGGAACTACCCTGGTGGAGCTCCAGACCCTGGATCACCTTCCTGATTAGCTAGCTTTTGGTTATGTAGAAGGAGAAAAATACTCTACTCTAATATCACATTTTACACGTAGGTGTAGTTGTGCTCAGAGCTCTGAGTACTTTGTGGTCTTGATTTCTCCCTTGTAAGATGCTTGTTTACACTTAGAGTTCTACCATCAGATTCTATTTACACCTGAAGCCTCTCACATAACTGTAGCAGGTGAATAAACAAGATGTGAAAAGGTCAAAGAGCCACACTCTCTAAGGAGGGATCTCAAATGCCTATGTTGACATCTCACAATGCAGAAAATGCCTCCTGTTGGTTTTCTGTACATTCTCAATCTAAAGTCTAGCTCTGTGTTATAAATTCCATCTAGATAAAATCAACATTACTCTGCATTTTTGGCTGTTACAGTGAGTACAATCAAACAAGAAATCTACAAATACAGGCTGCACTAGAAAATTCTCAATAATATTTTACCTAAAAAAAAAGCTAATACAACATGAATATAACTGGACAGTTTATTTGGGCTAAGCTTAAGTACTGTAACTTGAGAAGACATATTCAAGATGCCTGGAATCTACACATTGATTAGCAGCAGTTAGAAGTGGATTTGTAAAGGGAAAAACAAAAAGAGAGAGAGAGAGCGAGAGCGAGAGAGGGCTCATACAAACTTGTTTGTGAGAAATTCTTATTTAAATAAATAATTTTAAATTATAGATTGATTGTACATTAAGGTTAAGGGTAGAGAACATAGCGTTCAGTGTGACATTATTAGTTTAACGTATACCTACTTGTGGCAATAGTGAACAGTTTCAAGACATGAACACATAGTTCAAAGAAGGGAGAAAGACATAATTGTGCTCTTACTTTAACGTCTCTCTGAGTTTCATAAGTAAAAAGACTTGCATTCCTCAAACGAAAATTTTTATTCTTCAAATTTCAAGACCTAGATTTAGAATTTAGAGCCGTAGATTTAGGTCCCAGATGGGTGGAGTAGCAGTAGGTGTTACCTGTAATTGTGAGCATTTTAGTGAGAGGAGTAGAGATTCTCATGTCCCCCTGACTACTCAGTGTACATGTGTTACTCTGGGCAACACATGTGGATTGTGCTCCATGGTCTCTAAATCAGTTTTAGGTCTATGCAAGAGTCATTAAAAGAAGTAAAATGGGCCGGGCGTGGTGGCTCACGCCGGTAATCCCAGCACTTTGGGAGGCCAAGACGTGTGGATCACGAGGTCGAGAGATCAAGACCATCCTGGTCAACAAGGTGAAACCCCGTCTCTACTAAAAATACAAAAAAATAGCTGGGCATGGTGGCACGTGCCTGTAATCCCAGCTACTCCAGAGGTTGAGACAGGAGAATTGCCTGAACCCAGGAGGCGGAGGTTGTGGTGAGCCGAGATTGCGCCATTGCACTCTAGCCTGGGTAAAAAGAACGAAACTCCGTCTCAAAAAAAAAAAAAAAAAAAAGAAGTAAAATGATTAATATCTGCCCTATAAAGTTTGTAGAAATCTGGTCTACCCACTCTAGAAGTGACTGTAGAGGGCTATAGATACCAAATAGGCAGAGACACAATTCTGCCTGCATATTTAGGTGACAGCATGCATTTTACAGCATAACTGTAGTTGACTGGAAGCCTGAGAGGGAATGACATCCTAGAGTAAACCTTGGTTGGCACATTATGTGTTTATATTATGTCTGGTAATTCTACAGTGTTTGGAAAATATAATTTTTAAGAAATTCTCCGGCTGGGTGCGGTGGCTCAAGCCTGTAATCCCAGCACTTTGGGAGGCCGAGGCGGGTGGATCACGAGGTCAAGAGATCGAGACCATCCTGGGTCAACATGGTGAAACCCCGTCTCTACTAAAAATACAAAAAATTAGCTGGGCATGGTGGTGTGTGTCTGTAACCCCAGCTACTCAGGAGGCTGAGGCAAGAGAATTGCCTGAGCCCAGGAGGCGGAGGTTGCGGTGAGCCGAGATCGCGCCATTGCACTCCAGCCTGGGTAACGAGCGAAACTCCGTCTCAAAAAAAAAAAAAAAAAATTAAGAAACTAGACTGGGTATGGTGGCTCATGCCTGTAATCCCACAACTTTGGGACACCGAGGTAGGTGGATCACCTAATGTCATCAGGAGTTCAAGACCAGCCTGGCCAACATGGTGAAACCTTGTTTTAAAAATAATAATTTAAAAAAATGGTCAGGTGCTGTGCCTCACGCCTGTAATCCCAGCTTTTAGGGAGGCAGAGGCGGGAGGATAGCTTGCGCCTAGGAGTTCGAGACCTGCCTGGGTGATATAGCGAGACCCCGTTCTCCACAAATAAATAAATAAATAAATAAATAAAATTGGCCAGGTGTAGTGGTGGGTGCCTGTAGTCCCAGCTACTATAGAGGCTGAGGCAAAAGAATCACTTGAACCAGAGAAGTGGAGATTGCAGTGAGCCAAGATCACACCACTGCACTCCAGGCTGGGAAAAAGAGTGAGACTCTTGTCTCCAAAAAAAAAAAAAAAAAGTAAATAAATAAAAATAAAACACCACATAACTATACCTACCCAATTACCGAATTTTATTTTCTTTATCATGAAACTTATAAAAATCTTTCCTTCAAGCTCTTTCCATGGACGACAAATTACAAACAGCAGTTAGGTGTTCTACAATTTTTGAATCACTCTTTGATTAATTTTTAAAATATTTTCACAGTGATGCCGATAAATTTTTTTTTTTTTTTTTTTTTTTGAGACGTAGTTTCGCTCTTGTTACCCAGGCTGGAGTGCAATGGCGCGATCTCGGCTCACTGCAACCTCCGCCTCCTGGGTTCAGGCAATTCTCCTGCCTCAGCCTCCTGAGTAGCTGGGGTTACAGGCATGCGCCACCATGCCCAGCTAGTTTTTTGTATTTTTAGTAGAGACAGGGTTTCACCATGTTGACCAGGATGGTCTCGATCTCTCGACCTCGTGATCCACCCGCCTCGGCCTCCCAAAGTGCTGGGATTACAGGCTTGAGCCACCGTGCCCGGCCAAATTTTTAATAGAATAAAAGAGGGCCTGGGAACCCCACTGACCAAAGCTCTTCCCATTCATGAACCCGCTCCCAGAGTCAGGATTCTCCCCTGAAAACCCTCCCAGGTTCCCCACACAATCTGGGAGAGACGCGGCATTTAGGGTGCAGAGACGTCCAAAGAGAGCTCTAGGACAAGGCACAGTCACTGAGCAGGGAAGGGAGGACGCTCGGGGCGGCTGTCAGTGCAGCCGCCATCTTATAACTGAAGAGGGCTTAAAGCCGAGCTGGACAAGGAGAACTCGGGACGCAGATTGCGGAGCTGACTGCAGGGAGGCCAGAGTCTTGCCACAGCCACTTCCCACCAGATCCAACCAACCCCCTCCCCTCTCTCGGGATATCCAGCACCCTCACCATTTCTAGGCTTCCAGGAGATCCTGGCATCTTAGCTGCGGATCTCCAAATACCTGCGGATCACAGGGTCACAGAGAATGGGTCTCTAAAAGCAGAAGACAGAAGAGTGAAGAGGAGACCTTGCGCTCCCGCTGCAGCCAAAGGCCCCGCCACATCCCGGAAACCGCCCTGTCCGCTCAACCTGTGTGTCTGATTGGACAGTTCCCAGCCCAATGTCCCTGATTGGATAACGTTAAAGACCCCGCCTACTCAGCCCGGAGTGACAGAAGATGTGATCACACGCGGGGCTGAATGAAGAAAGAGCGACAGCCTAAGCTGCAGGCTTTTCATGCAGGGCTTCCTCCCTGAGCTGAGCCAGGCCCACGCCAGAGCATGGAAAACTTCTTTTTGCGTTCTGTTTTTTAATGTATTAAATATATTAACAAAAATATTTTATGTATATTAATAATACGTAAAATTTTTGTTCAAGAGAAAATCAACTTTTACTTTAGTAATGATGTATTCTCAATATTAAAGCTAATTTGATAAAACATTAAACATTTCCATCAGTTGGGCGCGGGGGTTCACGCCTGTAATCCCACCACTTTGGGAGGGCGAGGCTGGCAGATCATGAGGCCAGGAGTTCCGAGACCATCCTGAGCAGTACAGTGAAACCCCTTCTCTACTAAAAACACCAAAATTTGCCGGGCGTGGTGGGTGCCTGTAATCTTAGCTACTCCAGAGGCTGAGGCAGAGAACTGCTTGAACCCAGGAAACAGAGGATGCCGTTGGCCAAGATCGCGCCTCTGTACTCTAGCCTGGCCGACAGAGTGAGACTCCGCCTCAAAAAAGAAAAACAACAACAACAACAACAACAACAACAAAAAAAAAGTAAGTGGGCAGCCTGGAGCAATGGCTCACATCTGTAATCCCAACCCTTTCAGAGGCTGAAGCGGGCATATCACCTGAGGACAGGAGTTCGAGATCAGCCTGACCAACACGGTGAAACGTCATCTCTAATAAAAATACAAAATTAGCTGGGCTTGGTGGTGTATGCCTGTAATCTCAGCTACCTGAGAGGCTGAGGCATAAGAATTGCTTGAACCCTGGAGGTGGAGGCGGAGGCTGCAGTGAGCACAGATCGCATCTTACACTCCAACCTAGGCAACAAGAGCAAAATTCTGTCTCAAAAACAAAACAAAACAAAAAAATTAGCTGGGCATGGTGACACGCACCTGTAATCCCAGCTACTAAGGGCTGAGGCAGGAGAATCACTTTAACCCGGAAGATGGAGGTTGCAGTATGTCGAAATTGTGCCACTGCACCCTACCCTGGGCAACACAGCGAGACTCTGGAAATTTAGTATTTCCAGAGTCTCAAAAAAAAAATTTATTTTTATTTTTTTTAAAGTCCATCAAGGCCGAACGTGGTGACTGATGCCTGTAATCCCAGCACTTTGGGAGGCCAAGGCAGGAGGATCACCTGAGGTGTGGAGTTCGAGACCAGCCTCACCAACATGGAGAAACCCAACATTCTACTAAAAATACAAAAGTAGTTGGGCGTGGTGGCACATGCCTGTAATCCCAGCTACTTGGGAGGTTGAGGCAGGAGAATCATTTGAACCCGGGAGGCAGAGGTTTCAGTGAGCCGAGATTGTGCCATTGCACTCCATCCTGGACAACAAGAGTGAAACTCCATTTCAAAAAAATAGTAATAATTAAAAAACATTTTTTTTATTTATTTATTTTTATTTATTTATTTATTTTTGAGACGGAGTTTCGCTCTTGTTACCCAGGCTGGAGTGTAATGGCGCCATCTCGGCTCACCGCAACCTCCGCCTCCTGGGTTCAGGCAATTCTCCTGCCTCAGCCTCCTGAGTAGCTGGGATTACAGGCACACGCCACCATGCCCAGCTAATTTTTTGTATTTTTAGTAGAGACGGGGTTTCACCATATCGACCAGGATGGTCTCGATCTCTCTACCTCGTGATCCACCCGCCTCGGCCTCCCAAAGTGCTGGGATTACAGGCTTGAGCCACTGCGCCCGGCAGTTTTTTGTTTTTGTTTTTGTTTGTTTGTTTGTTTGTTTGTTTTTGAGACGTTGTCTCGCTCTTGTTACCCAGGCTGGAGTGCAATGGCGCGATCTCGGCTCACCGCAACCTCCGCCTCCTGGGTTCAGGCAATTCTCCTGCCTCAGCCTCCTGAGTAGCTGGGATTACAGGCACACGCCACCATGCCCAGCTAATTTTTTGTATTTTTTAGTAGAGACGGGGTTTCACCATATTGACCAGGATGGTCTCGATCTCTCGAACTCGTGATCCACCCGCCTCGGCCTCCCAAAGTGCTGGGATTGCAGGCTTGAGCCACCGCGCCCGGCAGTTTTTTGTATTTTTAGTAGAGACGGGGTTTCACCATGTTGACCAGGTTGGTCTCGATCTCTCGACCTCGTGATCCACCCGCCTCGGCCTCCCAAAGTGCTGGGATTACAGACTTGAGCCACCGCGCCAGGCTTAAAAAACATTTTTTAAAGTCCATCAAATTTGTCTTCTGGAACACTCTAGACTTTTATACATATTTTAAGATCTCTTACAATTTTTAAAATTTTTTTCTAGACGAAGTCCTTCTCTGTCGCCCAAGCTGGAGTGCAGTGACATGATCTGGGCTCACTGCAACCTCTGCCTCCCAGGTTCAAGTGATTTTCCAGCCTCAGCCTTTGGAGTAGCTGGGATTACAAGCGTGCACCATCATGCCAAATTTATTTTCAGATTTTAAGTAGAGACTGGAATTTGCCATGTTGCTCAGACTAGTCTTAAACCCCTAAGCTCAAAATGATCCACCTGCCTAGACCTCCCAAAGTACTGGAATTACAGGCATGAGCCACCATGCCTGACCTTTGTTTGTACACTATGAAAAAAAATTTTTTTTTAGCCGGGCGCGGTGGCACATGCCTGTAGTCCTAGCTGCTCAGGAGGCTGAGGTAGGAGGAGCACTTGAGCCCAGGAGTTCTGGGCTGTAGTGCGCTATGCCGATCACGTGTCCGCACTAAGTTTGGCAGGAATACAGTGACCTTCCGAGGAGCGGGACACCACGAGGTTGTATAAGGAGGGGTGAACCGGCCCAGGATGGAAAAGGAGCAGGTCAAAACTCCGTGCTGATCTGTAGTGGGATCCTGCCGGTGAATAGCCAATTGTACTCCAGCCTGAGCAAATAGCCAGAGCCATCTCTAAAAAAAATTTTTTTTAATTTTTTTAAATTTGCTTATCTTACACCTACTAGTCTTGGTTACATATAAATTATATTAACCTTTAACAAACTAATTTTTAGTGAAATTCCTAGGAAGTAATTTTGAACTGTTTTGTATCAATATTTGTAGATGAAAAACGTTTTTTAAATAAAAGATGTTTTTTCAAATTTTGTTAACAGATACAAATATAGTTAGCTTTTCTATATTATATTGAAATAAAAAGGATTCTGGGCTGGATGCGGTGGTTCATGCCTTTAATCCCAGAACTTTGGGAGGCTGAGGCAGGCAAATCACAGTCTGGAGTTCGAAACCAGCCTGGCCAATATGGTGAAACTCCGTCTCTACTAAAAAATACAAAAATTAGCTGGGCACAGTCGCATGTCCCTGTAGTCCCACCTACTCAGAAAGCTGAAGCAGAAGGATCACTTGAACCCGGGAGTGTTTAGACAGGGTCTCCCTGTCACCCAGGCTGAAGTCCAGTGGTGAGATCTTGATTCACTGCAACCTCCACCTCCTGGGTTCGAGCGATTCTCCTGCCTGAACCTCCCACATAGCTGAATATAGCTAACTTTTGTATTTTTAGTAGACGGGCTTTCACCATGTTGCCCAGGCTGATCTCAAATTCCTGAGCTCAGGCAATTAACCTACCTTGACATACCAAAGTGCTGGGATTACAGGTGGGAGCCACCATGCCTGACCTGTCATAGATGGCTTGTATTACCTTACAATATGTTCCCACTATGACAATTTTGCTGAGAATTTTAATTATAAAGAGATGCTAGATATTGCCAAATAATTTTTCCCTATACATTGGGATGATTGTATTTTTGTTTTCCAAGATGGAGTCTCACTCTGCTGGCCAGGCCGGAGTATAGTAGTGTAATCTCGGCTCACTACAACCTGTGCCTCCCAGGATCCAGCAATTCTCCTTTCTCAGCCTCCCGAGTAACTGGGATTACAGGCACCAACCACCATGACTGGCTAATTTTTTGTATTTTAGTAGAGATGAGGTTTCACCATGTTGCCCAGGCTGGTCTCGAAATTCGGACCCCAGGCAATCCACCCTCCTCGGCCTCGCAAAGTGCTAGGATTACAACCCTGAGCTACTGTGCCAGCCTGATTTTTGTTTTTAATGTTTTTGTGGTTTATTACATGTATCAACTTATTATGTTAAATCTTCTTTGAATTCCTGACATAAAGTGCACTCAACCATTGTGTATATTATTAACATGCTGCTGTATTTGGTTAGCTAGTCTTTTGTTGAGGATTTTTGCATTCATGCCCATTAGAAACAGGTGTGTTTTCTTTTTATTATGCCTTTTCCCGGTCTTGGTATTAGCGTGATACGGGCTTCATAGAATGATTTAGGAAGGAGACCCTTTTTTTCTGTCTTTTGGAATAGTTTCAGTAGGACTGGTACCAATTTTTTGAATGCCTGATAGAATTGAGTTGTGAATCTATCTTGTCCTGGACTTTTTGTTGTTGTTGGCAATTTTGTTCTGAGTTTTGCTTTGTCACGCAGGCTGGAGTGCCGTGGTACAATTTTGGCTCACTGCAAGCTTTACCTCTGGGGTTTAAGTGATTCTCTTGCCTCAACCTCATGAGTACGTGGGATTACAGGCCCAAATACTATGCCTAGCAAATTTTTGTATTTTTAGTAGAGACAGAGTTTTGTCATGTTGGCCAGGCTGGTCACAAACTCTTGACCTCAAATGATCCACTTATCCTCAACCTGCCAAAGTTCTGGGATTAGAGGCATGAGCCACTGCACCCAGCTGGCAATTTTTTATTTCTTATTTTTATTTTTT